ATTAAAATAAAAGCAATTTACATTTATGGTGTAATTGCAAAAACAAAAAAAAAAAAAAGAATTAATAAAAAATAATGCATAAATTGTGAGCGTGAAAATTCGAAAAATAAAACATTGGATGTGCGTGTGTATGTGCGCATGATTGTGTTTGCTTTTCGATTTGAACGACCTGAAATGCACTTGCAACATGTGTGCCAAGATCGCTGTCGCCGTTGCTATTGCCTATGTTTTGTTCTACAAAAGCATAAAGAGGCCTGCAGGAAATGTGACAGGGTTCAAAGTACTGTTTACCAACATTTAGGTATATGTGTTGCCGAACATTTCCGAAATGTAAAAGAAGATTTCGAGGGTAGAATCTAGGGCTCTCGCTACTGAGGATTAACTCTGTATAAAACCAATATGGCAAAACTTTCCCCCAGCAACGGCTGATTCGGTACGAAAGAGAGTATGAAATTCATGCCAACAATAAAATCAGATCACTCCCTATCTCTCCCATCTTCTTGCAGAAGCTAAATCCGCTATAGTAGGGATATTATGCAAATTGAGAGTTGAGGGGTATTTCTTTTTGTCTGCTTCTCCAGCAGACCCCAGGTGATGCAAAAAAAACTTTCAAATATAAAATATTCGCGTATACAAGTGCGTTTTTGTAAACCGATGTGCTCATCACTTTATTGTGTGCGGTAACCCTAATCGCGCTAGACGCAAAAGTTCTTCTTCCGCAAAATTTCTCACGAAAATTCTTAATGCTACCTTAGCTGTCATATCTTCCGGACGTCTGCACCATTTAATAGGCTGGCCCGTCAGAGATTTTCCATCGTGGTTCCAGTTTGGTACTCAAAAGTGCAGTTGTTCGGGTCGTTGTTAAGTGGGGTTGCAACAATATTCGGACTCAGCCTTGTCGGAAGTTACGCTGACCACGAACTCCGCTGTGTTTATGCAGTGAAGTTAAGCAGGATGTAAGTGGGCTTTAAGAATAATGGCGGCTTTGAGATCGAGTCTCTACTGCTCGGTGTCTATGATTCTTATTTGGGATTTTTTCAATAATTAACTCCACATTGGATAATTTGGTGTTGATGCCCTTATGTCGGGCGGCAGGAATCTAATTGTGTAAAACTAACAATATTTGGAAATCTAATATCTCAATTAATAGTGAATACAGTTATCTAAATCTGTGAAGGAATAATGTGTGTGAATAACGGTTAGAGTGTTGTTGATGAACGCCTCACTTAGGAGTGGTTTGCTCGATTCCATTCGGGAAATTTCTATGTCAATGACACAGCGGTAATCAACCCAGAATGATTAAATAACACTCCGATGATAATTTGGAATCGGTTTCCTAGATATTCGATTGACCAAATAACTATCAGTGAAACGTTTCAAAAATGCGATAAAGTTGAATATTTTCTGAAGCGACTATTCACAGTTTTTTAAGGCGAGTGTATGAAACCAAAAATATTTATCAGTGTAAAACACCGTCGAGCATACATAAATGACTGCAATTCTCAAATTGACGGCAAACCAGATGATGCTGAGGATATAGTCAGACCGCAAAGGAATTTCCCCTTATGGACAGCTACAATTATGAGCTCTACTGTCAACAATATACCAGTTTGCAACGAGCACTAAGTACAAGAGACAAAAAGCATCCGAAATTCATCGACAAAAAAGGTTTCGTCTTGTCACTGGCGGATAGCGCGGGCTTTGAACCAACTGACCACCATTTTTGCGATCTTTGCCATATTGAGGAAAGAAAAAAATGCCAAATAAATGATCAATATTTTATCAATGGTAAGATTACCAAGTCTTACGTTGCATAATTAAGTTCCAATCGCATAGTTAGCGGCAGACTTGGTCCTCTCCATGGGATATTGGGAAGACTGAACTCATAGTATTTTCTGCAGACCACCGCTTTTCATGAATTGACAGATCAAAGACGTAGTTAAATGGCTAAGCAAGCTTTATGTGGTTAGATATCGCGGTAGAGTTACTGTAGGTACCTCACAAGTACCCAGCGCGGTATATGAACAACTCAGCCGTTTTAATGCTATTCAAATGTGTAAACACTATTCGAGTTGGGCATCTACGCAAAAAGTTACTCGAAAACTATGGAAGAACTTATTACAATTATTTTGTGGGAGCGACGTACGGAAAGAACAGTAGTTTTGGTATAGATCCGTTGAAGACTCATTATTTATTTCAAACTAAAGTTTGACTGTGACTTCGTTCGCGAGAAGTTTTCAAAAGGCTACAGAAAGATTTATTAGGCTTATTGTATTAATAATTTTATTATAACTTATAAACTGTTGTACGTTTACTCATATAAAGCAAAGCCGATCCCAGGCCAACTTTCTGCAAGAAAAATTGTAATTTTGGCTCAAAACCACTCTGTACCAATTTTTATGTAAACAATAACCTTAATAATAATAATAATAATAATAATAATAACTTTTCGAATAGATCGGTGCCAGGTCTATTTCCCAAGAGTAAAAGTGTTTTCCATATCAATTCAGGTAAAGAGCTACCTGTGTACCAAATTTTATGTAAAAATAAATTCGGGTGTCTCGAATAGATTCAACCAAGGTCAACTTCCTGCAAAACCGATTCTTATTGGTTGCATATATCATAAGCAGATCACTTACTCCAAGTTTCAAGTCTCTATGATCAGTGGTTTAAGTTGTGGGTTTTGCTTTATTGCATGTCAGAAATACACACGGAAGGGCGACCGCAATTAGAAAATTTAGCTTAATTTTTTATTTGAATCCATTTTCTATAACTTTTGGATGTTGGTCGCACGGGCATTTGAACCCGAGCCTTCCAAATGGCAGTCCTCATGAAAAAAACATCAGCAGTTCGGAGGCGACTTAGTATAAACTGTAGGCCCATCCAATTATTGAAAAAACATCAATACGAAAAAGACCACAAATTGGAGGAGGAGCTGGGCGGAAAATCGCTCCAGCAGTTACAAAGCGTCAATTATATATATTTTTTGTAAACTGTGTTTCCTACTGGCACACATGCTCATATGTATATATGTATGTTTATATGTATGATATATTTTAGACAAAATTAAATTATGCATCAATTTATCAGAACGAACGCAGAAACCATCGAAAGTTTAAGTAGAAATTGAAATGATTTACATGCTCACACTTCCATATGTACAGATGTATGTATGTACGTATACATACAGCAGCAGAATCGGCTACAATGGGTTGACTAGGTGAACGCTTAAAAACTAACGATAAAAAAGAAATATTAAAAAAAAATTTTTTTTTAGAAATACATAGTCAAGAAGCAATATACAGTCAATGCTAGAGTAAGTGAACAGTAGCACAAAAACAAAAAAAAAAAAACAAAAAAAAACCAAAAAAAAAATTGTGCGACATATGTGCGTATAAGGAGTCACTGTGTATGTATGGTGTATGCGTGTTTCTGTTTATCCATTTGAAGACGACGTCTTTAACAGAAAGTGAATGTGAATAGGCAATACGTAAATAGTCAAGTCAACTAAGGGCAATAACAATAGCAACAGCAGCAATCATATAGCGGAAGATGAAGGAGTGATCGAGTAGCGCAGATCCTCAGGATGCACTAATGCGCATTTGTATATATATTTGTATGTATGTTTGTATGTATGTGCAACGGCAAATGAGTATACTATATTTTTATTTATGTAAATAACTTAATGTATGCTGCAGCACATGTGCATCGATGCGTTCGTTGCTGTTGTTGTTGTAGTTTTTGTTATTTTTATTCCTTCAACTGCAGCGTTCATGTCGTTGCATTCGTGCAGCACTGAAGACATTACCGCTAGGCGGCTAAATTCATTTAAAACCTTACAACATAAGACACACCGATTTATTGACGAACATAACGTGAGTGGTGGCGGGTCTATCGAGAGAACAGAAAAAGTAACTCGATGAATATTATTCTATAATATTATATTTGCGTGATAAAATTTCTTAGCGTTTTCTATGCCTACGGAAATTCAAAGCCACGCCGTTCGAGCGCGACACAAAGCAATTTCGTAGTCATTGGGATTTCCCTTGCGGTCGCGGGCGTTCTGTTTTCTTGGCAACATTGCCAAAATTTAGCAAAGCAAAAATTAAGTGACAAAATTTATATGAACAAGCGGTGGCAGTCTGAGTGCCGTCGCCCCGCCAGAGGTGACTATTTAGCACACCAAAGTGGTTTTCATTATTCAACAAAAGACACGCGACAGACGCACGCCGTGAAGGTGCGAGCTAGAAAAACACAATAATACAAAAATTAAAATAATACAAGAGTTTGTCTCAATGAAAAGGAAATTAACGGATGCTCGGAAATGAGTTGCATCGCCGGTCGCAGTACAAGTGACTTATGACACATTTGTGTGAATTTTCAAAACATAATGATTTGAGGCAGAGACTAGATACCAATAAAAAACAAAAAAAAACGAAAAGCTTTTTACGAAAGTTTATTTTCTTTATAAATACATTACAATTAGAGTGTTTAATGAAAATAAATAAATATTTTTAGTGCACAAAAAAATTTAAATGGTAAAAAAAAAAGATGTTTATAGTAAATTTACAACGAAAATTCCTATATAAAATGAATAAATTCCAGCTTAAGTTAAATAAAACAAAACAAATTTAAAGAAGTTAAAAAAAAAAAAATAAAAACAAAATAAAATAATATAAATTAATTTATCATAAAATAAAATAAAGTAAAATAAAATAAAATAAAATAAAATAAAATAAAATAAAATAAAATAAAATAAAATAAAATAAAATAAAATAAAATAAAATAAAATAAAATAAAATAAAATAAGTTTAACTTATATAAAATAAAATAAACTAAACTAAAGTAAAATTAAAAAAATTAAAATAAAATAAAAAAAATTAAATAAAGTAAAATATAATGAATTAAAATATTAAAAACTCATCTCTTTGAAGTTCTTTTTAAAATAAATTTTTCTAAACTCACTTATTTCTTGTGTTTTTTTTTTGCAGAATATTGAAAAGTGATAAAGTAAGAAAGATTTAAATAAAAGAAAATTTAAGTGACAAAAAACAAATAAACTTTGCAAAGGCTTATCATCTGCCTGCACCATGTCTGCCACGGTGAGAGCGAGCCCACCCAACCTCGGTATTACACCGTTGCACACAGCGAAAGTGTCATGTCGAACAAACTCGACAACCTGCAACAAGAACAAGAACAACACCAGCGGAAAAGCCGGCACTCAGTTGCCACAAATTAAATTGCCACCAACTTCACCTTTATATTCACCAATTTATCCAGCTATGGATGCGCTGGCATCTACACCTAATAATTATGCTAATAGCAATAGTAGCAGCAGCAACAACAACAACAACACCAGCAATTGCTGTACGCTACTCATGTCACCGCCGCTTAGTGCACACATGTTGAACGCTAAGCTTGGAAGGGACACACAACAGCAAGATCAACAAAAACACTACATTCAACAACAACAACAACAGCTTCACACAGCTGAATTTCTTGCACCGAGTTGTAATTTGAAGACTGCTTATAGCAGTTACAGCAACAACTACACGGACTTCACCAGCGCAGACTTGAGCTTTTCGGATTTTTCGCTTAGCTACATGGTTGAGACGCCCACATCGGCTTATGGCAGTTGTGGCAGCAACAACACTACGGTGGATTGCATGGGAGGAGGCAACAACTCGGCAGTAGCGAGCTTTTCTAGTGACAGTGATGTGGTCATGCAACAGCAAAAACAACAAAAATCTCAAGCTACCGCCCAGGATGTGTTTCGTTTCGAACCGGAGGACATAGCACGTCTAATATCGGCTGATTGTGAAACAGGCGACAGCTTTGGCAACTCACCTGGTATTGCAAAGGCGGTTGTAGAAGAGGAAGGAGGTTGTTTGGGCGTTTCGGATGATTTACAAGCGCCTTTTGTGCCACACACGCCTTGTAGCTCGTACGCCAAGCATACGTCTTCCACCAACTGCAATTTAAGCTCACCCACAGTAGCTGCAGCTAACATGGGGGTGGGAAGCAATTATCAACTCGTGCAGCAGCAGCAAACATCAGTAGTTGGTGGTGCTGAGAGCAATTGCAGTAACAGCAACAGCAGTTGCGACCTTAATGGCGAGCAAATGGCAGGCACCATAGCCGCCGACTGCTTAAATTTGGATATCGAGTACTACAACTATAATGAAATCAATTGTCAATCGAAAAATCAGTCACCCTGCTCCTCACCACCGCTTGATCCTTGGATGACTTTAAATTTAGCTGAGTCCATTGCGAACGCCTCAACTGCGACGGAGACAACGCAACTTAAACATTCGCCGAAGCTTAGCAATGCCAACTATGGCTATCAGCCGTGTGAATCAAGCTACCAGCCCCAATATACAAGACATGAAATTAAACAGGAGTCGACCTCTAAACTGCCCTCAATGATGTCCACCTTTGGCACGCCCAAATACGAATCAGTCTACAACTATGACTACGGTTTTATGCATGAGGATATGAACAACGCACACCAGCAGCAGCAACATGAATATGACGGTCAACAACAACAACAGCAGGAGAGATGGTCATACCCTTTTTTTACCTCTTCCACCTCCATCTCCTCCGCCTGTGCCACCACCACAACCAATCTGTCGAGTGCCGCCGCAGTTACCCATAATTACGATCATTCGCCGGAAAACTATCAGAACTGTAATTTGTTGCAAGCGGCGAAGCCCAATCGCGAACACAAAATCATTTGGACCATCGACGAGTTGGATGAGATACATGAGGAGCTTATCGATGAACTTTGCTCCGCAACTACCAAGCAATCAAATCACATGAGCGGTGATGAGGAGGTCGATGTTGACATTGCCACATATTTTGAGGAGGACAACTCGCTGAATTTTGCCCTTAAGGTAGCAAGCCGTGATGGTGTATTTGAGCGTCGAGATGATGAAAAAGAGGATGATAACGATTCGGTGTTTCACCTTAGTGATTGTGCCATTACAACCACCGCCAACAATAACAACAGCAACAGTAAAAATCAATTAGAAGAATCAACACAGTTGCGTTTGCAACCGCCACGCCGACGACGACGTTACATTTCACCAACAGGAACAACAACAACTAATGCCAACAATTTTACAGTACATAATGAGAAATCATCTTGCAATGTGCAGAAAAATGACGGTGATTCAGAACCAGCGAATACGTTTGCCGAAGAAGCGCAAATCTGCCGTTGGACCGACTGTAATGAGGAATTCCCGAACCAAGCTGAATTTGTTGCGCACATCGAGAAACGGCATGTGGATGTGAAGAAGCGCGACGATTTCTCTTGCTTTTGGCTGGACTGTCCGCGTCGTTATAAGCCATTCAATGCTCGCTATAAGCTTCTGATTCACATGCGTGTGCACAGCGGTGAGAAACCGAACAAATGTCCGGTGAGTTCAATGAGTTTTCTTTTCTTGTTTTTTCTATTTGGTTGTGGTGAAATGAAGCTATGAATTTACAAACACTCATATATATCATATATATACATATACAGTATTTCAATTAATCGTTTGCAAAATGAAAAAGTCACAAAAATTTCTTTTCAAATTTTATTTTATAAATGAAAGTATTTTATTTTCCTTTTTTTTTATTAATTGGTGAAGTTAATCTAAGTATTCTTAACAAATATCACTAGCAGCAGAAATATCAAACATTAAAACCGAACGATAAAAAAATAACAAATTTAAAGTTCGCCAAATATTGCGTTGTCAATTGATTCTTCGCAAAATGTCCAAACAATTCAAAATAAAACGTAGTCAACTTAACGGTACCACAAATTTGAAAATGAGTGATCGCGTGCGTCATAGCTATGCGTTACTCTATTACATTCAAATTAAAGCTCTGGACAGTTCAGATCGCGCTAAATCACGCATTTAATAATGCCTGGCGAGCGAACTAATGAAAATCCTGTTCAATTAGTTTATTTTAACTACCTGAAAAGGAAATCGGCTAAAGGCTAAGCGGAAATGTTTTCCATCAAGCTTAGAATGATTTATAATATTGTTAAACGCGCAGAAAAAGGAAACAGGTTGGAGTTAATGCACTCTCGCGGTAGACCACCGAAACTTTCTAGACGAGATCATTCAAAAATTTTTAAGCAAATCAGTGATAATCCTCAAACCACCCTGAGTAAAGTGGCTTTAGATATTAAAAATGATTGCCATAAAATAGTAAGTCACAAGTCAATCCGAAAAGTCTTAAAAGCACACAAGCACTCCTCACAAATAGCTAGAAAGAAACCATTGTTGTCGATAGTCAATATTGAGAAGCGGCTCAACTTTTCTATTACCAATGTCTACAGGACTGCGGAATACTGGGATGACGGTTTTTTTGCGACGCGACAAAAATAAGGTTAGACTATCATAATGGACCCAGTAAAGTTTGGAGAAAAGCCAACACAGCTTTGCAACAGAAAAATATAATTCCAACAGTAAATTTGGAAAGCTTTATGTAATGGTTTGAGGTTCTATTTCGTCGAAAGGTGTTGGTGAGCACCGAATTTTTAATAAAGTGAAAACGAAGGAGTTTTACTTGGGCATTCTAAGGAACGAATTGTCAATAAGTGCGACAAGATTTGGATTTGTTGACCATGAAAACCCTAATAAATTAAAGTATGAACTGTAGCAGGACAACGATCCCAAACATAAATCATTGCTGTGCAGGACGTGGCTCCTCTATAATGCAGTAAAGTGATTGACATTCTTGCCCAGGATGAGGGGAACAAAATACCTGAAAATTATGACTTTCGAGTAAACAATCTTATTCAGTCCATGTCCCATCGTATTCCAGCTGTGGTCATCATACCAAATATTAGTACCAACACTGTATATATATATATATAAATATATCAATATAGTCGTATGGTATAGACATTATACCGTACATACCCTTATACTTCAGCAAAACAAATCTTCACATACAACATTATTTAATACTCAGTCTTAAGAGCTAAAGCCACCCTAGGATATTAAGAAACTCAACTTTTTTGTACCTTTAAATCCTAGATATGATATCCAACTGGTTTCAAAGTGAAAAAAAAAAAATCCAATAGCTGAACTTTTGATCGTGCGCTGAGTACTAATTAAGAATATTTTTTTATACCTCATTATTACATTTTAAAATAAATTTAAAAAAAATACTATTTTGAAATCTCCAAAATGGCTTTACCCCTTAAGACTAATACTCAGGCTTTTTTATTCTTTGCATGGAAATTAGTAGCTAGTGTCTCTTATTTTGTAATATAATTACTTATAATTATGTTTCAAATAAATAAATAAATAAATCTTAGATATAAATCTTATGTCCATTTGGAACAAAAACAACCAAAGATCTCCAAATCTTGACTTGAAATTTAAAAAAAAAAATAATTTTTGAAAAGCGGACCACGAATTGACCTATTTGAAAAAATCTTATTTGCTTTTCGATTTACATGAAGTTCGGTACTTAGGTGGCCTTTTGTTTAGATTAGCAGAAAGGCTGTACTTCTCTACGAGAAGTAGACCGAGGACTGGTCTATTCAAAAGGCCGGATTATTCCTCTCTCCGGGAAGTGGATCAATGTCAATGGTAAAACAAAAAATATTGTATGCCTTCAAGTATTGAGTAAATAAAGTTATGATAAGTAGATGTACCATACATTCAATGAGTATGTGACACAGCGAAGCGTTGAAGGGTTCAGCTAGTAGTTCATTCGCTGTGACACATACTCGTTGCATGAAAAACAAAAAATTGGATCTATTTTCATCATAATTTTACATATTCAATATACAACATTTTTGGTTTGAGCCTTGGCCATGCAAATAAAAAGATTATCTGATCCGCCAACACTGGAACATGTTCCAGCCACACATTGCCTTTTGTAAATTTTTTTTTGCATTCGGTGTTCCCAACTTATAAAGTAACAGATCAGCCATTCATATATTGTCATGTTTTAGTTGGTTTGGAAGGAGCCACCCACTCTAATCAGAATTGGTGTGAACTTATTACAAACCATTTGTATGATAATCTGAATTTGCTGCACAGTTTTGGTTAAATTCGTGTAAGCCATTCTCAAGTTATAAGATGAAACCAAATACGGGCACTTATATTATGATGTTAAACACTACTCAAACTCGGTTTTTGAGAAGGCTTTAAGTTCTTCCAGCAAACCGTCATTCATGGCGTTTGCAGCTGTAAAACTACGGCCTTTGGAGGTTCTCTTCAGTTGTTTTAATTTTGGTCAAAAACTTCGAAATTTTTCAAGACAACAGCTGGATGTTTTTTAAAAATACTCTAGAGGCATACATATATACAAACATTATGAAAATGTTTTGGAAAATTTGATCCTTCATGCCAGCAAATATTCAAAATTCTGAACACATTTAATATGCTAAATGGTATAATAAATTATTTGAAAAGCTTTTGATGAATAAAATGCTTCTTTATAAATCGATGTCGAAACCAGTGTGGACCTACGGAATTCAAATCTGGGATACGGGAAAAGAAAAAAAAAAAAAAAACTTTCAGTCAAAAACACTTCGCTTAATAGCGAATGCACCATGGTACGTAAGAAATATTCATTTACATGAAGATCTAAGAACACTCATTGTAATTGACGAAATAAAGAGGTTCAGCAAAAGTTATATCGAAAAACTTAAAAACCATCCAAGCACACAAGCTATCAAGTGTAGTAGTACGAAGACTACAAACAGTCTTCACCCTCTAGCCATTCATAACATAAACCTTTGGCGCTTTCTCGCCAAAAAATTTTTTTTTTTACCTTATGAATTGGATCGTTATGAACGAACGAGCTATGCTATACAAAAAAAAATTAAATACCTCAATTTTGGGACAAATTACACTTAATGCATCAAAGTAAATTTAAATTACAGTAAAATTTACTTTTTGTCAACCGACAGAAAGTAAATAAATAAATATAGATGAATCTTGAAAGTAAAATAGAGTTTATATTTTCTTAGCATAAACATTAAATTTGTAATTTTATTTGCTTATTTAAATATATGTATGTGCACTGCCTTTCAAAAGTCAACTTGTTATGCTGCAACTGCCCATCTTACATACCAACCGTCCATAACACCCGACTGGAAGAGCAATATGAATACACGAGTTATCGGCGCTACTGAGAGCGGCGAAATATTGCCAGCTGCCAGTGTGTTTGCACATTTTTGAACAAATTTATAATTTTCGTCAATAAATTTCATAATATAGGTGTTTGAATATAAATGCAAATCGAATATATAAACATGACCTATATATATTATCTTCGATTATTTAATATTACTTTGAGAAAGCCTTTACCGGCAGCGAACCTTGTACAGCAACGAGAAATCAGCCGAGCGGGTTTTACGGAAAAAATCAAATCGCCGTTGGCTTCTGCGGGACAACCGTCAGTAAGGGCATGGGCAACTTTAGGTTGCTATGGATGGAAGGCATGTAACATGGGCAGTTGCAGCATTACTCATCATTACTGTATTGTGGCTATTTTTAGAAAAAATTTCTATATTTGTTTACATAAAATGTATACAAGAAGGGAAGCGATTTTGCTTGCACGTGTTAATAGAAAAGTCTATATGTATGTATATTAAAATATAATCTTATCTACTGTGTATGTAAATAGGAGAAGGCGTTTAGTATATATAAACATTTATATGAATATTTATATTTGGATGTGTATTTGAAACCTTTGCATCTGCACATTTTATTTGGTTTGAAATAAAGATAAAATAACGACATACATATATGTATATATATTAATGTAGATACCGACGATGCGTAGAGCAGTAGATGGGCCGAGAAAGGAATAAAGGAACATATGTGTATGAATGTATGTACAATATGTATGTACGTATGTATGTGCCACAAGAATAAATAAAACGTGTTGAACCATTTCAGTTGAATATCAAAATTTACAAGGCCATTTGTTCGCTGATCTCAGCGCGTTTCACCACCCGCCACCAACCACCGACGCCATCATGTCAAACGCTTCCAGCAATTTGCGTTCTTTAACTCTTTGAAAAGGCATAAAAGCGTACACAATTCACAAATAATACAACTTTTGCAACCTCTCTTTGTATTCATGGCGACCGGCATGATGTTTCAGCTCTATAGCCCCTTCTCCCGCAGTTGTAATGGACTGTCAGTTGGAGTCCACTTTCGTATTGGTTGCGCACATGTATGTGTGTGTTTGTGTGGGAGTACATGCACGTATAAATGCATACAAATATGTGAAAACATTTGTATAGACATGCGTTTTTGTAAATGTTGCATATGCAATTCCGTCATACTCCATTGCAATAAATATCATGACACGCGTCATTAAGATACAAATGGAAAGCGTGCCCAGGTTGTGGCTCAGACACAGAGCTTTTGGTGAACAGTTGCAGTTGGGCAGATATGTATGTGCGTTGCCTGTGAGTTTTAACCCTGGTCTCAATTAGTGCTAGGTGCCCCTTTTTTGAGACCTGTAACTCATGCCATCTCGTTTCATCGTTATGTTCGAACCAATTGGTGTTCTCATTGAAACCACTTATGTATATCCGTTACGCTATTTGTCGGCAGGCATTCAAGGTTGGGTACCTGATGGAAGTGTTCTATGTTGATTTGTTGCAGAGCTGAACTTTAATAGGAAAAGTGGAAAGCTGTTTCCTTATTCCCTTCTAGTTTAGAGCTGCGGCAAGTGCTGTTAGGTAACACATGCACCTGCTTGTTTTCCAAAAGACCAACGCCCCGTTACAGGGGCTGTAAGTCCGTAAATAGGTTTTTTGCTAGGGACTGATCTGCTTCGTTATCTTGCCTTTGGATATAGATTTCCACATGTTCAATGTCTAGTTGTTAAAATTGTGTATCATTCCATGCGGGTATGGTATTAATGCTGTCTCCTGACCTTGTCAACTTCTCAGCTTTTGTACAGCCGAAAATATTCCTATGGACGGAAAGCTCATAGGTCTTCTTGATGCGAGAGAGATTGATGGATGTCAAGACTCTTGGAGCATAACCTTGTCCCTAGGTCTAGACTTGGCAGGGTATATTCTGATTTATTTGAAGCTATATTGAGCTGACTCAGGTAATCGCTGAGCAGAATATGCTGCCTATTTTTAAAATGAAAATATATATGGGAAAATGATGACGTGATTTAATTGCACCGGTCACACCTACACTGGCTGCTGTTATATTGTTTCTTCAATACTGGCCACCAATCTAATGCTCCAGAGCTAAAAATCGGTCTGATGATGTATACCCATATGACCATATTCGGCTAAATGCTTCAATTCCTGCTAAATGTTCTCAGGCAAGTGCAGTGGTCTACATAAGCTCTCTTAATTGGTCTATAAAAAATTCATTTCCCAGTTCAGTTTGGTAACATTTTTCAAACGCTAGATGTTTGGTTGAGCTCATGTCGAAGCAAGATTTTTATAAGTCCAACTATCAGAGTAAACATCCTTATGTTTTATATCATATTTTTTGTGCATGTTCACACTAGAGCTATGGATGCCCGGGTATCGAGCAGCTCGAGACTTGTTCGAGGCTCAACTGCTCAAAATGTTCTTTGTCGAAATTTCTTTGGTATTTCAATGAGTTCCATATTTATACAAGAAAGTTCTGTAAAAAACGTAATTTTTTTTTCGAAATGCTCGCATTGCTCGATAGTTGAACAAGTGTGCGAGTACTTGTTGCTTAAACACTCGAGCTACTCGAATATACTCAAACAAAATCTTGAGCTCTTTGTATATATATTTTTCTTCGTAATTTCGATTCATTATATCTTCCATGCACATGAAATGGTATATCAACCTTGGACCGATGTGCTTAAACACCAGAAAGAAGGAAAGAAGTTACATATAGATCAATACCGAAAGTTGGCTTAGACCTGTGTGTTTGATTGAACAGAAACTGGTGCCCCAGGTCTTGTAATATTTTAGATTCAGTTGTCAGTCCGGATGGCTGTCACATGATTTGTTCAGATATGAGGCTTTGGGCTAAAAATCCGTCAATACTCTCTTGCAAAAAAAATAATAGCATGAAATTGTATATTCTTTACACTAAAAAAAAAAAAAACAAATAAATAAATATATAATAAATAACAAGACTTGGACATGGCTAAAGACAACGCCTCTTTCTTGTTTTCCTTTTTAATCCTCTACTAAATATTTTGTCCTTTATCTTTCTCTCCAACAGTTTCCCACTTGCAATAAGGCATTTTCACGTTTGGAAAATTTGAAAATTCATCAACGCTCACATACCGGCGAGCGTCCGTACGGTTGCCAGTACAAAGGTTGCCTGAAAGCATTCAGTAATAGTTCGGATCGAGCGAAGCATCAGCGCACGCACTATGATACGGTGAGTGGAAATATTGTATCTTGTATTTCCGTTGTATGTTCAATATGAAACAGAATTTTGAAGTACTTGAAAAAGGTAAGAATAAGCTGACGCTTGGAAATTGCTGTTGGGATTGATAGGCCTTTTCGAGAGTTACATAATTTTCACTGAAAAATGTACACAAATTTTGGCTTACAAAACGTACAAATGTGAATCTATGCTGTGTTATTTCGTAGAATTTCCTTGAAAATGCTTATTATGCTAAACATTAATGATTTTTATTTAAAAAAAGTGACAAAAAAAGGACTAAAACAAAATTTTATTTTGAAAGTTTTTTTTGCGATACTCAGCCTTCTTTAGAAAAATAAATTTGAGTTTGTATAAATAAATAAAGTAGCAAGGCAGCTTAAAGTGGTTGTCGCTATCCTCTCCTGCTAGTCAAACCAATGTGTATAGTTGGTAAAACCGAGCAAACATCGTATCATTGGAGTCGCTATTTCGTTAAAGCCTCTAAGAGTTGCCACCCATAGAGACTTCAACCCAATTGTTCAAAGGTACCTTTCGTCTCTTTAACTTCTGTATCAATATCTCTGCATGCATGTCCAATAGGAGATGCCCCAGAAGAGGCATAATTATAAATTACGCCTTTCTTTTTGGGGCTTACGGTCTCATAGCTTTTTCAAACAATGCTGGTCACATTACATTTTTCCATCATGAATAAGAATCTCTTTAATGAATAATTCTCCTATAGTGAACTTACAAGTGGATTCCATGATGATGAAAGTGCGAAGCGAAGCTTATCCGTCACTTCAGTACCCGGTATTTTACTCCGTCCAGGCAAACAAACAGAACATTTTTTCAACAATGAATTATCGCTTTGTTTTTCAGCAGTTAGGTTTCTAGTATAAGCCGTTGATTGAGTCAAAAAACTCCAGAAATGCATAATTTTTTAATTTTGTGTTCAAAATAACTTCTCAGTCACGGCTAAACCCAGTTAAACTCACTTGGATCCCAGGTCACACGAATGTTGAAGATAATTAAAAGGTATATGAGCTGACTCACGATGGTGGAGCTATTACTCTTGACTGCTTCGGATCTTTTAGAGACTTAGAACTATTTAAAAACTGAAGCTCCTCAAGCAATTCCAACGTAAGACGTACCACCAAACCAAGAGCTTAGTTGTGCTAGTGAACTCAACTCTTTTAAATTAAGTCCATATTATTATTTGGTTGTACTTTATAGTCGAGTAATCGATTTTTACGGTGTTTGAATAGCAAGCTCCAAACAAAAAAATGGTGGAAGTCGATAGTTTACCGACTCAGCTATTTAGAAACGACGCCGAAGAGCAGACCACATGCATCATGCCTAAGTATGCTTTGCGTAATTCATTCCACAGCTTCCCACGACTACCGTGGAACAACCCCCGACTAATGTGAAACAGTAAAGCCCCCCGCAACAAACAAATTGGACTTTATCAGCGGAACTTTAGATCTGATGAAAAAATAATCGATACATAATACCTTTTCAACAGTGCGAAAAGTGGCTGCCTCTATACAGCTGTGTAAACTGACCTTAGAGAGACCCAACGCGACTTAAGAAAGAGAAAAAGTACCTCCTTTAGAAGTTCGGTACCAAATGAGGTTTCATACAAAGTGACTTTCTATGGTGTGACTTCTTCAAGAGCCAGAGAGTTAAATAGCAAGTCCGTGTACCGACTATTACTATCCTGAAATATTTCTGTCTGTCTGCCTGTTCCCGATAAACTCAAAAACTACTCAACGGATTTGTATGCGGTTTTATCCGATATCAAGAGTACTTATTATTGATTGATTTTAGCATCAAATGTTACCTTCTCTACCATACGAGTATGTATTAGGTCAAGTCAAGAGTTCGTTCGGGTTTTATCGAATAGATGGCGTTATTGTCCGTAGTACTAGTGTTACGCATCGCACCATGTCATACTATACGAAGCTGAAAACGTGTTTATTCGCGCTAAAAGTTTGTCTTTCACAGTTTTTCGATTGATTGACTCAGTACGTTGCGAACGCTCGATCAAGGCGATAAAGCAGCCAAAGCGGTTGAAGAAATTAATTTAGTTTGTGGGCCCGATACGGTAAACTCACGTGTAGAACAAAAGTGGTTTGCTAGTTTCCGTTCCTGTAATTTCGATGTCAAAGATGCACCAGGTTTTGCTGTGTATTTGGTGGGACTGGCAAGGAATCATCTACTGGGAGCTGCTCCCTTATGGCCAAACGCTCAATCCGTCCCTCTATTGCCAACAAATGGACCGCTTAAAAGGCTGCACTCATCCAGAAGAGGACTTCTTTGATCAACAGAGGCCGAATTGTGTTCCAGCACGACAACGCCAGGTCACACACGTTTTGGTGACGCGCCAGAAGCTCGAGGAGCTCGGGTGGGAGGTCTAATGCACCCACCTTATAGTCTGGACCTGGCATCAAGCGATTACCATCTTTTCCTGTCCATGGCGAACGCGCTTAATGGTGAGAAGTTGGTCTCAAGAGAGGCCTGTGAAAATTGTCTCTCCGAGTTTTTGCCAATAGCGACGCAGCCTTCTACGAGAGGGGTATAATGAAGTTGGCATCTCGTTGGCAACAAGTTTACGAAAAAAACTGAACGAGCTTTCTCCTTGAACTAAAATGAAAAATATTTAACAAGAAGTTCTAAAATCCAATTTCACCATACTAAACTATGCAGATATACATCGGCGAGTATAATAAATCCAAAACTTGAAAAAATATACCAAAATTTAATAAAAATACACCGACTGACGTTTATAATTGAATCCTCCGTGAAGGATGAATGCCCTTAGTCTTTACTTTGTTGTCTGTTGACTTAGACGCAACATGTTGAAAGCTTTTAACAAAATCCGAGTAGCGAAAAGCTTGGTTCCTGGCTTGCTTTCTGCGCTGCTAAAATATGCAACAAATTAAGTCCAGCCGTGGCAATGGCACTGAGGGGATGTGGTTGTAGCGGTGCCTGCACAGCTATTGACCTATCAACAACATATGCTTTATTGCGAAATTCATCAACAAAGCAGTAAAGTAGAAGACATAGTGTGCAATATCAACAACAATAACAGCAACAGTTACAGAAACACACACTGAAGTTTCGGAATATATATATGAATTAGAAGGAACAAAGTATGCAGCGAAGTGGCAGCAGCAAGTTTGTCAGAAAGCCACACCAAAGAGGAGGAAAACGACTGCGACAGCTGTGAGTTTGTGTTGCAGCGTTTTGATGTCGGTTTGTGGCTTGCTGTTGTTTGTTGTTGCTAGAATTTGAGGAGCGAAAACTCCTTTCCTGTTTTGGCTAACACTAAACAAAGTGAATTTCGGTTGCGTTAGCAATTCAACATTGTTGTATTTGTTGTTGTTGTTGCTGTTGTTGTTGTTAGTGTTGTATGTGACTGGTGTTGTCAGAGCATACTGCACTTGTTGGTTGTTTAGAAATTTTGGCTGTTTATTTGATTTATCACTACAACTTGCAACCAGCACTGAGAAGGTAGCACACAAACGAATACATACATACATACATACACGCCCATACAAATATGTGTAATCATGCAAGCATCAACATACGAGTGCCATAGTTACATAGTTGCTACAATATGACTACAACAAGGGAAAAAATTACATTATTAACGGTATCGAGGACCAATGCCCTTACAACAACATGCGCTATAACAATTGCAATAATAACTACAACTGCATCAGGGTTGGCAATGGCGATCTAGTAAATAGCAAGAATGCAGCATGCATAAAAGCAACCGTTATATGAGTATCGCGAGCACCGAGCGCATATTCTATACACACTTAGGCATAAAGACATACCTACACACACGTATACATATACATATATATACATAAATTATTTGCCGGCTATGCAGTTATTAAGGAAAATAGAATTTCTCTGCCATGCCATGCGTGCAACATTTCTAGCGGTTACATGTGTGTACGTATGTTTTTATGTATTAAATGATTTACGTTTCTAGTATAGTTGCAATTATTGTTTTTGTTGTCCTCTATTTTCATTATAGATATTTGCAATATGAGCTGCTATGTGCTGCTTCCTCGTTTGCCTGTTGCTAACGTTCTCTTAATCAGATTTATTGTTGTTGTCGACTGGTTTTAGTGTACACTTAGTGCAGCATCTGGTGCGCTCCTCAAATACTAATGGAGCTGAGAGCACAAATTTCGTTATTAGCCAAACTTAGGCAAAAAGGCGCAGCATACATTTAGGCGTAACATTAAAGAAAACAAAAAAGTTCAAGACTATGTCTATCGTCGGCCGAAAAGTTGGAGGTAAACCTATCGCATTATTATAGATTAAATTTCAATTAGGAGGTGGACTAACTAATTGATGAATTTCTAGTTAATTTTATTAAGTAAACTACGAGGCATTGATGTTTGTATGAATTGAATATATGTTTATACAACAAAGAAAAATGGTAGAATTGACAGCTGCTTCGTAGATCACCACATCTCCTCATCAGACTTCTTATGGCAGGCATCGAACCAATTTCTAGTTTGTTTTTAAAGGAATTGTTCAATCTAGCTCACTTCTATTACTGATACTGAGTTGCTTTTGGCAAAATAAGTGAAAATGAAATGATCAATGATGTTCGCGACAATTGGGAATTTTCCGAGGGGTAATGTTGCACTTCGAACATTTTTATATCTTTCATGAACAAGAAATGGTATACTAACTTTGGTCTGATGTATGTAAGTACTAGAAGGAGAAGACATACACCTATCAAAAATTATACCTAGATTATCGGATTGATGAGCTGAGTTGATTTAGCCTGTCTGTCTGTCCTTCCGTTTGAACGTAAACCAGTCTTTCAGTTTTTGAGATATTTGAACGAAACTTAGTATACAGGTGTATATTTGTAATGTATTGATTATTTGTGCTCAATACATCAATAAAGCAGATTAATTTATGTAGGCGCCACACATATAATAAATTTCGAAGTGGTACTGAAATTGTTCGAAATCAGAGAACTATACCATATAACCTCTATAGAACTGATTTGATGAGATTTGCAGGATTGGAGTAAAAAGACTGGGCTTTTACGCCATCCAAGATAATGAAATTTTTTATTTTACACAGTGAAATGCAAATAAATATTAATATTGAAAATCATCGAAATCAAAAGGCTATATCCTCCCCTTACAACCGACATGTAAATTTTTTACTTTACTTCATGTTGTTGATTGATTTTTGTCTGATTTACGTCGATAAGTATACTTTAAGCCTCTTAGTACTGGAGGCCGATATACCGGCTATTACTGCACTGACAAGCAGAAGAACAAAATAAAACTTTAATGGAAAAAATACTTGCTTTTAATCAGACTCAAAAATCTAGTTGACCTGTGTAGTTTTATTTATTTTTAATATAATTGCTGCAGAATGTTCAGTCACAGATAACGACTCGTGGGATTTCGAATTTAAAAATGCAGACAAAAAGATTTTAGCACAGCAATAGACAACATTTTGAAGAGTTTTTGAATAGCAAAAAAGAAGAATAGCAATGAAGAGCTGTCTTCGGCTATGTCGTTGGCTTTATTCCTTCCATGACCGTAAACCAATTTTAGGATTAAATATCAATTCTCATACCTAAACAAATCAGTTTCAGGGGGCTATCTAATAAAATTTAGCGATTTCGATAATTTCCACTACTGAAAAGAATTTCCTTTATTGTGTGTCAAATACCAAATTTAACGCTTATATATGCCTGTTTTTCCGATTTATGGCCGTATATCTCAACTCTTGAAAATCGATCCTACATAAATCCGGTATAAACTGACTAGTAGATGGACTTGACTAAATCAACTCAATTCGTCATCTGGGCCTGATTAGTTGGAATTTGTAGGGTTTTTTTTCTCCTTTTGCTGCTAACATACTTCGGACCAAAGTAAAATATTACATTTCATGTACATGAAATATACATAATAATGACATAATAATTATCCCTTATATCAAATATGCACCGTTTTGCTAGATAACTTTTGGTCATTTTGAAGAAAACGACACTATGCCTCTTTCATAGAATGTCTTGTCTCTTTAGACAGAAAATTGGAGGGATTGATTTGCACAGCCTTCTCTTGAGGTCAATTCTTCACCAGCCAAATCAGTCGCCATAGGCAGGAATAGATGATGATCATTTGGTGCGAGGCCCGGATTATAAGGTGATTTCCTAAGACACTCTCTACAAAACTCTTGGGGCTTCTGTCCAGTCACTATCGATGTTTCCGTCCTTTGAACAAAATTGGGCGCTTCCTTAAGCAAACGAACTAAGAGTTAGGCCGTAGGGGAGCAGCTTTTTGGTGGATGGTTCTTTGCCAATCTCAACTCACCAAACGCACAACAATGCCTTTCTAGTCACCAATTCTGGCCTGGAGACAGAGCTCGCATGGCGGTTCCCACTCTATCGACATTTCCGACTCTGTAGATCATCTATTTGACCTAAAATAAATATTTATTATTAGGGCTTTATAAGGTCTTGATATTTATCCAACAAATGGAGAAACCAACAATTTATACTAAGCCGCCTCCGAACGGCTAATGGCTTGGAGACTCTTTTTGCTGGCTCCATATGCATTGGAATTGGACGATTTTGCTTACGATTCGGCGGCATTTCGCAGCTAGAAATTCGGTCAGTGAGGTTTTCTTTCGGGAGCTCATGTGGTACCTATACATGGAGCGTTTTTGTGGAACCAGCCTTTGCAAGTGGTTCCGAACTGTGTAATTTTTAGCTCCTGGGAAATCGAAGCAGTGCTCACACTCTATCGACACTTTATCCACAATTGACCTTCTACTCTGTAGATCATCTATTTGACCTAAAATAAATATTTATTATTAGGGCTTTATAAGGTCTTGATATTTTTCCAACAAATGGAGTAATCAATAGTTTACACTAAACCACCTCCGAGCGACTGATGGCATTGTATGAGGAGCTTTTATTTCAGGCCAGAAATTCACTTGACATTCCCTGCCGAAATTTAACCTAATTTTTTATTTAAGTTAATTTTTGTAATTAACACAAGGATACGAACCCTGGTCTTACGAAGCTTAAAGCTTCGACGAAAATTTGCCTAATATATAAATTTTGAGGACAGTTCTGAGAAATATCAAGCTGAAAACCTTCACTGGGTGAACCGAAAACAACATATTCTAAGTACCCTCTTGTCAATATTTCTCTCCAAAGGTCGCTACTCGATGACCTAGGCTTCATAAGGCCTTCCAATTTATTATTCTAATGCAAAAGTTAAGACTGTATTCTTATACTTTCAACTGTTCAAATTGTGAAAATGAAAAATGTTACTCTAAATTGTTCCGATTTTTTTTCTCTACAGAAACCCTACGCTTGCCAGTTAGCCGGCTGCACGAAACGCTACACCGATCCATCAAGTTTGCGAAAGCATGTGAAAAATCACGCTCTACGCAATGCCAACGGACATTTGGGGCGACGAAAGTCGGCGGGTGCTGCTGCGGGCAACAAAAAAGTCAACAACAACAACAACAGTAATAATAACGGAAATGTGACGACAAGTAAAATGCGTCGACACTCCGAATCATCATTGGTCAATGTGAAAACAGGGCAAACAACAGATGGCGCCAGTGTAGCGGAGGAGGCATTAGGTACACAAATAGTGGCAACAACAACAATGTCAACAACAGCGCCAACATCAACAAAGGCATTAGCGCAAATGACACTAATTGGCAGCAAATTAATGAATAATACACAATATCAGCGGCAACAGCAGCAGCAACAACAATTATTGCAACTCCAACAGCAGCAACAGCAGCAAGCACTGCAACCACAACAGCATAGCATAACAACAACGCGACAACAGCGCAGCTATAGTTGCAGTGAAATGTCAACACGTTACAATAATTGTAAAGGCAACAACAACAATAAAAACAACAAATTGGCTTATTATGACAATCACATTGAGTTAATGACAACTTCAGCGCCAGCGACAACAGGGACAACAGCAACGGGCCAAACAACTACATTTCAACAGCCTATAAAATTGCTGCCAGCACCACCAGCAGCAGCAGCAACAACAACAACAACACTAGCAGCCATGTCGACCGTTTACAAAATGTCAACGACAACAACAACAATGCCATATGCGACTGTGCAACATGCCAACAACGCATTGAGTATTAACGACATGGCCACAATATTTGTTGCCACTACTACTAATACTAGTGGTAACAACAATAACAACAACAACGACAACAATAGTAGGAGCAGTGGTGGTAATCGTAATGATTGTGGCGCAAATAGCCGCAACAAAAACAATTCGATGAACTTTAATGAGTTGTCAAATTGCATTGTTACCATCGAACACAATCAAAATGAGAATTCAATTGATTGCAGGAATGACAACAACAACAGCAACAGCAACACCAAGCGTAACTGCGATAGTATTGAGGCCATTAACAAGCCCTTGGGCATATTGAGCACACGCGACAGGCGACAAGAGGCGGCGGCGGCGACGGCGACGACGACTACCACGATGGAACAGGAAATGGATGCGTTGAGTGAGTGCAGCGACGGAAGCAGCAGCCGGAGCAGCAGCAGCACCAATAACAGCAATGGTGGCCACGGTAGTCATTGCAGCTGTGGTGGCAACAATGAGCATATCAATCAATTAAATGAACTTGACCAGTTTTTGGTATTAAATACGAAGGCCGAGGATATCAGCGATGAGCTCGGCAAACAGTCAATAACCAGTGCAGCAGCAACAACAGTAACGGCGACACAAACAACTGTTGCTACAGTGGCCCCAGCGCGCGCCGCACCATGGCACACATCAACTAATTGCAACAAACATACGACTCACACAAATTTCACTAATTTGACGGCAATTAGCAACATTAACTCAACGTCGAGTAGCACGGGAGCGCCTAGTGCAGGAACAGCGGTCAGTGAGCCTGCTAATAATATTAGTCGTAAAGCACCACATACACAACTAGAAGAGTTCGTCTCGTTCGAGTATGTGAAGCGTATGTTGTTAGACGACGTCGACGACGACGACGACGACTACGGCGATACATTCGATTATGAGGCGGCGATCCATAGTTCCACTGGGGCTAGTGGTTCGATAGATGCGCGCGCAGCTAAATATAACAAATCTACAATGCACGCCACTAATAATGCTGCTGCTGATGCCACAGCACATGCCATTAGTAGCTCAAGCAAACAATGCAACGCCACCAACGATGCCAAGCAAGCGGCTAATGGACATGATAATATTGATGTGGATAAAATCGGATCTGCGGCCGATAGAGTGGGCCAAAGCAAAATCGGCTGCAGCAGCAATGAGAGTAATGTCGGCTCGGATTATGCAAATAATTTCGAAATGGATTATTTGCAGAGTTTCATGTAGTGCAACAAGGCACACGAGCATGCTGCAGCGCTGGCAAATATAATCATACGATGGCACGAAGCATTGCAGCTTGTGGTGGTCTAATCAATGCAGGGGCAAAATATATACTATATTAGTAATTGGGCGCAACAACAATAAAGCAGGAGTATTAGTAGCAGCAGCAGTAGCAGCAGCAGAAAACAACAGCAGCAATAACAATTGCAGCCAATTTTCAACAAATTTTAATTAAATCTCAGCTCTGGGAATATTTTCAGCAATTGAGCCACAAATAATTAGCATCAAGTTTAGCATTACAAAAACCAATGGAAGTAGGTTCAAAGCGTTTTCTGAGCTTGAAATATGTTTACAAAAAAAAAAAACAATTTTTTTTGGAGCTTCTAAAATTTTTTGATATTTTAATACCGTAATTTAGTGATTTCCCTGAGAGATGAATTCCAAAAAAAAGGAAAATGCCAAAAATTCGCCACCAAAGACACAATTAAAAAAAAAATAATAATTAATTATATTAGCAAAAATGTATCTATTTATAAGTTTTTTGTTGGCTTAAAATTATATTATTTTTAAGATTCATTTCAGTTTTCTTAGTTTAATAAATTCATTTAACAATTATTTACTGAAACACTTTTTATGCTTCCAAAGATCTCAAATAATTGATTCTTTTTGCAAATCAGTGTAGTATATTTTATATAATATTTTATATTTAATGTCAAAAAATAATTAAAAATCGTAAGTTTTTTAATGATATATAAAATTTCTTTTTGAGTAATGAATGTTATAAAAAAAATTAATACCGCAAATGCAAGCCACTTACGTTTAATTGCTTTTAGGTAAATTATGTTGTTTATTAAAAACTAGCATATATATGTATATAATATATTGATTGCAAAAATGTTCTTTAAACGTTTATCATTAAAATATTTTGTAGTCTGTAAAGGCATTTTATAAATATTTAAGATTTACGATTTACTCACGTGAGCACACGTAGCTCACTTTTTAATGTTTATTTTAATTTTTTTTAATTATTTATTATTTTTATTTATTTAATTATTTTTTTAATTATGTTTTTTTTATTAAACTTTTTTTAAACTAATTTATTTTTAATTTTCAACAAGTTTTTAGAAATTATCCTCTCAACATTTATGCAACGAAAAACCTGTGCTCAAGATCGTTGCACTGCATATGGAGAGCCATGCAGGCCTTTAAGTGGCTTCTGCAATATTTAAAGTGCTTTATTTTATATATGTTTTATAGGATTATTTTTTCTTGTAATTAAGAGCGTTGTTTTAAACTTTTTTCTAAACATTTTCTCATAAACTAATATTTAAGTACAAAGAATTGTTGCTTTCAAATCTTTTTGAAGGAAGCAAAATGTTTTAATTTATCAAAGCTCTCTGTATGTACATATGTATGTATGTAACTGCCAGTGATTCCTAAATATGAAATATTCTTCTAGTGATCTAAGTGTCTTCCCTTTTAGGATCTTAAGAAATAATTTAATTAGCTAGTTAATAAATAATTTTATAATAAAACCAAACTTGAAAATGTAATTAATAATAATCAATAGAAAATAATAAAGCAATTTTTTGCAGAAATTTCTAAAATTTGACTGAATCATATGCTAGGAGGGAGGGAGGCGGTTATTTGTGCTATACATTTCAGCATTTCTTTTCAATAAAATAGTTGATGCGAATACTACCAAGCAACAAAAGCGAATTGTTAATTTTAAAAAAAAAAAAAAAAAAAAAAAGATACACGTACATACAAATCTACCGAATAACTATTAACCAATCATAAAAACAAGTTTGAGTACCCCTCTCATATAATACGTGTATTTTTTAGCTATTATCATTTTGGCAACACCGGTTTAAACAGCTGACGAACGTTTTGTGTTTTTGTATAACGTTAAACATCTTCACTTTGGTCTATAACTTAAACATGAATCGTCTTACAAACGAACAACGCTTGAAAATTATTAAATTTTATTATCAAAATGCGTGCTCTGTTAAGAAAGTCCACCACACTCTTCTTCTGCGCGCGCTCATTAGCTCATTTTTGGCTTACTGGGTGCGTAAATAAGTAGAATTATCCAGAGAAAGTCACAGTTTGGTGCGGTTTATGGGCTGGTGGCATCACTGGACTGTACTTCTTCAAAGATGATGCGAATCGCAACGTAACTGTGAATGGCAAGCTCTTCCGTGAGATGATGTCAAGTCTTTTTTTTTACCCAAAATGCAAGCGCTTGACTTGCATGACATGTGGTTTCAACAAGAAGTTACCGCATGCCACACAGCACGCGGAACAATTGACATATTGAGAGGCGAGTTCGGTGAACATTTTATTTCAAGTTCAGGACCTATCAATTGGGCTCCTATATCGTACGATTTAACACCTTTAGACTAATATTTGTAGGGCTTTGTAAAATCTAATGTCTATACAGAGAAACCCACTTCAGTTGACGCATTGGAGGACAACATTGAAGCATTAACTCCTGAAATACCGGCCGAAATGTTAAAAAGAGTATGCCAAAAATTGGACTAAGAGGATGGATCATATGAGGCGCAGTCACAGTCAACATTTGCATGAAATAATCTTCAAACATTAAATTACAATAAATGGACCGTACTATCGATTCAAATAAAGATTTCATAAATTTTTTTGAATTTTTTTTGTAAAACCTTCTTATAGGTCTTAAAAATCGCCATCTATTTATTTTCGGCTTTACTATAAATTTGAAATCTTTGCACGCATAAAATAGTAGAAATAAATGAAACAGGAAACATCTGCGCTTTCATCAGGTTTTAAATATACCGGCTTCGCGCACATTTGGTCCTAGTGCATTAATTTTTCTGGCAATAACTTCTCACTCCTCCTTTAAAGTGTGTTGGATAACGGTTTATTTGGAAATCGCAAACTAAATGTGGCTTCTTTTCAAATTCTGCTGCAAGAATCTCGAATTGAGCGCTTGTTGTTAGCTTTAATTTCTGCATCATCTAGTACGTCAATAAAACGACTGACGAGAAGAGACGATAAGAAACGACAGAAACCGATAGCGATAACGCTGACGAGCATACCGCAACAGCATCGTCTGACGATGGCGTTGAAAGACATACCAATGTTACCGTCTCTGATATTTATATCGTGTGCAAAAGACTATTCACCGGCGACTTCATACAGACCAATAATCCCACTGACCTGCCTTTTTAATTTATGCGAAAGAATTCTGATATCTAAGATAACTGCTCTTAATCTCCATCGTAAGTGATACCGGTATATGAATTTAGTTTCCGTGACTAATATGGAAGTGTAGAGCAGTGAACTGTGAAATATTTCTTAAAGCAAATCAAGCGTTCAAAAAGGTTAAAAGCATAAATGGCCATTAAACAAAATTAATAAAACTGCAATATAAATATGTATTTGATTCATATTTGTCTGGTGACCATATTAAAATGGAAATTTATCACTTATCATGTTTCTGGTCCTCAGGGTAGCCTCTATTATATATTATATGCACTGCAGACATCCCAGTAAAGTGAAGAGTAGATATTTGTACTTTCACGGATGACACAGCCATATTATGGATAAATGGCTTAGAAAAACATCGAAACTCATTGGAGACCATTTAGGAAATCTAGACTTGGTTACAAAGTACTTATTTGCAATGCAATTATAAAGCCAATATATAACCTGTGCCACTAAGCTTGAGAAAATTCATGGATTGCAGACCAAAATTCTAAGGGTAATAATGGGCGCTCCGTGGTGCTTTCGTAACGTGAACATACAAAAAGATCTTGGTATTCTACTGGAGCAGAAAATAGTACCTCATGGAACTGAGGAAACATCTTAACCCATTAGCTAACGCTTTGTGCAACTCATACTGGAATTAGTGCAACGAAGAGACGTCATATGCTGCTTTCAAGGTACCCTCCCCAAGAAAAATATAATCTTATTATAATTTATAATATATGAAAAATAAATGATCGTTAAAATAATGGATCATTTAAGGTAGCTATGTTATTTAAAAAATGCAGACTGCTTTTCATTTACACATAATTACCCCTCTTTTTGTATACATTCATACATATTTACAGGTACAATATGTACATACTCGTATATCAGCTGACAAACTCTCCCGACGGCAATAACGTAATTTATCCAAACAATCGCAATTACTCTTCTTGTTTATAAAATACACTGTTACAATATCGCATGCACTCGTATGTTTATTTGTACGAATGTTCATGCGCACACATGCGTACAAACAAACATATAGCAGAGGCTACACGAAATGACTGCAATAAAACAATTTGTTAAAAATTTAATTAACCGAAAAATAAGCTTACATCTGAGCGAAGACTGAGAAAAAAGGACAAACAAAAATTCCAACAAAAACAATACGCATGCACATACATATATACATACACATATACACACATAATAGTTAAGTGTAGTAGCCGAATAATGTGTTGGTTCTTACAAACAAAAACATAAATCAGGCGTGAGCAGCAACCAACTCATACAACATGAAACCCTAACAACAACAGCAACACTGCATGCACTTTTGCTTAATATATGAAAGTGATTATGGGTGAGCGATGTGTGTGTGTGTGTGTGTGTGTATGTGTGTGGCAATGCACATGTGTTGGTGCAGAAAGTTTTGTCAGCGCCCCACGTGAGCCACGAACTTTTAATGCTTAAAACTACAAGCGCCTTTCGATGCACACATGTCCCGAAAACAAGCGCTCACACATCCGCACAAACACTGTACATACACATACAGTGTGTACATTCACGTGTATGTGAAGGCCAAGGCGACTCTTAGGAAAGTGTGCTCCTTTTGTTGGCGGCGTTTACGGGTGCTGAAGTATTGCCGCCGTCGGTCGTTGGTGGCATTGGAGCACATAATTCATGCGTAAATTAAGTTTCAACTTTTGCCACCAATTTATTTATACTATTAGTTGTTGCGTTTGTTGTTGTTGTTTTGGTGCATGGATGGTGTTTTTCACTTTGCTCATTATTGCCGACGGAAAACACACCACACCACATATGCATACTCATGCTACTTCCAACTATACACATACATATATATTTATTTACTTACTTGTGTTACTAACGATAACAACAAAAACAACAATAGTAGCA